AATTTTCCTTGAAACACAATCAACAACGCCTATCGATATTTGTTTTGGGGCAGCCTGGAGTGAGTGACCATAATCGTCTTGCCACTGCAGCATGCCCAGTGGTGGGGGGGTTGGGGGGGGTTGTGGTGGTGATTTACCCTGATAAAATTTGCCCGTGAAAGCGAAATAAGGGTGCGTTCCTGGCGCGTGTCAAGCTTCCGGTCATCCGCGGATGACCGGAAGTTAGACCCACTTTGGGTCATCCGAGACCAACTTCGGGTCTTCCGGCCAAAAATTGCCCCTGTTTCCGGAAAACACAAGGTTTGACAGGAACTTTAACCCAAAGCTTCGGGTCTTCCCGGGAAGGCCCGAAGCTTGACACCAGCCAGGAACGTACCCTAATAACAGTTCTAGTGCTGGGTGCTAGGGAGCAGGAAACTGACAAGTCAAACATAAACAAAATATATATACAGGAGGCATTACTGAAGACTACTACCAGGTCACACATAAGTACAACTGTTCTGTAAAATTTCAAATCCAGTACACTAGTGCAACTCACAACCAATGACTGCAACTAGGCACCGAAGTACCAGATAAGATCCTCGTCCATGAAAGGATCAAATCCAAAGTTATCCAGAATCGGAAGATTCTGCACCATCATCATCCCATCCAGCTGCCCCTGCTGCTCTCCTCCCTCCTGCCCCTCCCCTCCCCCACCCCCACCCCCATGCCCATCCCCTCCCACTGCGCCCATCACATCATGCTGCATGCCATGCTGCATGTCATGCGGCACATGTGACTGCCCGTGGGACTCATCCTGCATAGCCATAGCCATAGCCATCCCGGGATTTGCTACACTAGTTGCTGCTCCCCCTTGCTCTACACCTGCATCTCCGCCTGCCCCAACCGTTTGCCCTGCCTGCTGCTGCTGGTATTGCTGCTGCATCTGAAACAGCTCATACTGCTGCTGCTGCTGCTGCTGCTGCTGGTACTGCTGATACTGTTGCTGGTACTGATGCTGATCATACTGCTGCTGGGTGGGTGTATGTGGGTTCCACACCCCATGACCATGAGCATTAATATGTGCATGTGCATGGGGATGGGCATGCGGATGGGTGCTGGAATAAGGATGGGTATATCCCCCATCGTACGTACCACCACCCTCACTAGCATGCTCATTGTGTGTCTCACGCGTCTCCCCTGCTCGTAACCCCACAGCCAAGTGCAGTAACGACCATTGTCCCTCTCCCTCTGCTGCTCCCGCCACTTCCCCTCCTCCTCCTGCCCCTGCTTCCCCCCCTGCCACTATCCCAGCAGTTGCAGCCGCTTGTCCCTGCTGCTCTCCTGACTCTCCCTCTCTCGTCCCTCCTCCCTCCCTCACTCCTCTCCTCCTCCTGCTGTTGAAACTCATTCCCCTCTCTAAAGCAGCCGGTATTAGGTAATGGCTCTATCTCTTCCTCTCTCCCCTCCTCTCTCTCCCCTCCTCCCTCCCCCCCTCTCTCCCCTCCTCTTTCCCTTCTACCACTCCCTCCCTCCTCTGCCGAAGCTCGGCTGTGAGTCCTGCTACATCCCCCTTGGGATTGCTCCCTGTTCCCATCCTCCCGAACCTGCGCCTCAGGTTTGGCTCGAGCCAAGACCTCAGCTTGGGCCCGAGCCTGAGCCATGCCCCGGGCAGAGGTTGGAGACCGAGCCTGCGCCTGAGCCTGGGCAAAGGCTCGGGCATAGGCTAGGGCTTGAGCGGGAGAGAGATGGAGACGGGGGGAATGGTTATTGCGGGGGGAGATTGTGGGGCGAATGGGGGAGTTTGTGGGGGGAGTGTGGTGGGGGGAAGGGTTGTTGAGGGAAAGGGAGTGGAAGAATGGGGAGGGGGGACGGTTGGGGGAAGAAGGTGGAATAGATGTGGAGTGGAAGGGAGGTTGGTAAGGGTATTGGGGGGAAGGTTGAAAGGGGAACTGGGGGGAAGGGCGGAATGGGGAGCCAGGGAAGGGGAAGTTAGGGGAAAGGTTGTGAGGGGCGCGGGGGGAGATGGAGGAGGGGCGAGGGGAGGAAGACGATGGGTGGGGGGAAGTGAGGGAGGGGTGGGTTGATCCTGGTTGACTGTGGGAGGATGGAGGGTTGGAAGGAGGGTAGTGACTGTACTGACTTGGATGGGGGTGTGAGGGAGGGTGAAGGGAAGTGCGAGTGTGGGGTGAGATGGCACGGGGTAGGAGGTAGGGATTGGGGTGCGGCATTTGGAGGATGTGTGAGGAGTGAGTGAGTGAGTGTGATTGTGGGGGGATAGGTGTGGGGCGGAGGGGGACGGATGGGGCTGAAGCATCAGCAGTGGCATCATTACCAGCAGCAGCAGGAGCATCTGCAGGGGCCGCTGACGCAATAGCAGCAGCTTCAGCACCAGTAGAGAGAGCAGGAACAGCAGATGCAGCAGTATTTGCGGCAGGAGCAGCAGAAGCACCAGCAGCTGCAGCACCAGCAACAATTGCTCCTGCACCACCATCAGAATGAGTTAATGCGGCACCCACTTGCTCCCCTTGCTGCTCCTGGTCCCCATGCTGCTGTGATGATCTCGCCTCCTCTCCCCTGCCTTCTCCCTCCCGCCCTCCTCCTCCCCTCACAGCCTCCCTCCCACTCTGCCACGTGGCACCCTGTGATGGGCTGCAAACAACAATCTGGGGGCGTCTCGCATCAGGATATGTGTGAGAATGCTGCAGGGGAGTGTGGAGATATTGCAGCGGAGTGTGTGAGGGAGCAGGATGATGGGAGGCAGAGTGTTGGGGAGTGTGAGTTGCAGGGCCGAGGGTTCCTGCCAGGAGCTGCGTTGCAGACCCTGACAGTTCAAACTGCTGCTGCTGCTGCTGCTGCTGCTGCTGCTGCTGAAGCTGCTGCTGCTGCTGCTGTTGGTGGTTGTGTTGCTGCTGCTGCTGCTGCCTCTCCCCCATTCCTGCTGCTCCCAACCCAGCCGCTGCTGCACTATCAGCAGCAGCAGCAGCAGCAACAGCAGCTTGTGAAACCTCATCATCCCGGGATGTAACGCCGCCGGAAGCAGCACCAGCCACCTCCCTTTCCCCATCGTTTCCCCCATCACCTTCCCCGCCCTTCCCATCCCCGCCCAGCATCTCCCCTAAGTCCGCCTCTCCCCCTTCTAGAACTACTGACGCTGCTTGCACTACAGAAGCTGTAGCAGCAGCTGTAGCGGCAACTGTAGTGGAAGCTGTAGCAGCATCAGCAGACCCAGATGCATCAACAGTAGCGGCAGACGAAGAAGCAGCAGCAGAGGAAGCACCAGGAGCAGAAGCAACGTTCCTGGAAGCCTCAGCAGCGGTGACATCAGCAGCAGCAGCAGTGACGTCAGCAGGAATAGAGGGGTGGATGATTCAGGGGCGACAGCAGATGGGGTTAGCCTGGTGGTGACGTCACCAGAACCAGCAGCAGCAGTAGCAGTGCCGATGGGCTGCTGTGCTTGTAACGAATGTGCTTGTATCGGATATGCTTGTAACGGGTATGCTTGCATGGGGTGGGGCTGGCCGCTAGGCCGGGAGCGAATCACCACAGGGGTAACGAGCCTAGGCGTATTGGGCAAATTAGGTCCGGTGGTACTGCGAGGTTCGGCACGAATAGGTACGGCAAGATGAGGTCCGGCAGGATGACCTCCCGGACCAAAGCTGCTGCTTAGGAGCGGGGCTCCTAGAAGCATGGGCTGGGCCACTTGGTACGGCCCCACTGCCGAGCCTTGGGGTGGAGGTTCGGCAGGGAGGTTCGGAAGCGACTGGGAGGGAATGAGGTGGTGTTGGGAATAGGGATTTGAGTGAGTGTGGAGGTGAGGAGGGAGGAGGCGAGTGTGTGGGGCGAGGAGGGGTTGAGAGTTGGCATGTGGGAGAGAGGAGGGATGTGAGGAGGGAAGTGCGGAGGGGGGTGCGGAGGAGTGAGGAGCGGGAGCAACAGAAGCACCGGCATGGGCATAAGCAGAACCATCATCAGCCATCGATTGCATCTGCATCAACGGCAGGAATAGCTGCTGCTGCTGCTGTTGCTGCTGACTGGGATGCTGGTTTGGGTGGTGGTTTGGGTGCTGATGCGGGTGCAGGAGGTACTGCTGCTGGTAAAACTGCTGGTCCGGCTGCTGGTTCGGCATTACCGTGCCTGAAGCAGAGGCTCGGTAAATCTGTTGTGCTCCTCCCTGCGACTGCCATGCCAACGAATGCACGCTCTGTATTGGAGCCTGTGGTTGCACCACCTGTGCTTGTACCACCAGGGGTTGCACCTGAGATTGCAGCCCAGATTGTGTTTCTGTGCCTGGTGCGCGAATCTGTGTCTCTGATTGCCCTTGCCCTTGCCCCTCTCCCTCTGCTCCCCCCTGTGCCTGTGCCTGTGCTTGTACGGGTGGGCTAGGCTGCACGGAAGTGACTAAAAGAGGGGTGACTGATCCGGGGGTGGTAGTAGAAGGTGTGGGAGGTGGAAGGGCGAGGGGGGTTGGAGCAGAGGAAGGGAGTTTGAGCAGGGAGGAATGAGACGAGCGGCGGCGAATGGAGGGAGAGGGGGCAGGAGGGGCTGCACCAGCACTGTTGGTAGCAGCATTAGCAGCAGCAGCAGCAGCAGCAGCAGCATCGGCATCAACAGACAGCGGCAGCAGCAGCAGCAGCAGAAGCACCAGAAGCAGAAGAGGCAGCAGCAGCAGGAGCAGGAGCAGCAGGAGCAGCAGCAGCAGGAGCAGGAGTGGGAGTAGCAGCAGGGGTAGTAGCAGCTCCAGGACCAGCATCCTGATACGGGCACATAGCTTGATGGCCGTTCCGGGCAGCTCGGTCAGGAAAACCACAGCCTGCCCGGCTCCTCGGGCAGGTGGGAAACGGGCAGAAAAACGTTCGGTCGTCATCCTGTGCCGGGCCAACATCTAAGACATAGGTTCCTAGTGCATGAGCATGGGGATCGGCATGGGTATGGAAATGCGCATGTGTTGGTGGATTGGGATTGGCATGTGCATGTGCATGGGGATGGGCATAGGCGTGGGGATGCGGGAGTGCATGACCATGAGGTTGGGCATGGGTGTAATACGGATGCATGTGCATCTGCATGTGTGCATGTGCATGCGCATTTGCAGGGTGGGTGGGTGGATAGTGCTCGTGTGCGGATGCTGCTGCTGCTGCTGCTGCTGATGCTGTTGCTGCTGCTGTTGCCGCCGCTGTGTTCCCTTGCTGTTGCTGCTGCTGCTGCTGTTGTTGCAGCTGCTTCTGCCGCCGCTGTCGTTCCCTCCACATGCTGTTGCATGTTTTCCCCTGCTCCTGCTGCTCCTCCTGCTGCTCCTGCTGCTCCTCCTGCTGCTCCTCCTGCTGCTCCTCCTGCTGCTCCTGTTTCTCCTGCTCCTGATGCTGCTCCTGCCCCTTCCCCCCCTGCTGCTGCTCCTGCTGCTGCTGCTGAATATGATGACGCTGATTCCAAACGTGACCCATGCACTTGACCGTTGCAACAACCACACGGGATCAGCACCTGCCCAGCACCATCTGGCACCGCACTCAACCGCACAGAACCGTCCTGCACCGTACTCAACTGCCAAGCATCGTCCCGAACCTCCCTGACCAGCTCAGCAGTCTGCACCACCACCAGCGGCCCTCCTTGCTGCCTGCCCCCATCCTCTCCCCCACTCAGCAGCATCATCATTCCCCCTTCCGCCCCTCCCCCTGTCCCCACACCCCCTCCCCCTTCCATCCCCCCAACCCCCCCAGCAGCAGCAGAAACTCCCGCCCCTGCCATTCCCCCTGCCCATGCACCCCCTGCTCCCGCAATCCCCCCTGCCCCTACCCCCGCCACTCCCCCCACTCCCGCCCCTCCCCCTCCCCCTCCTCCCGCTACCCCTACTTCCGCCATTTTTCTCTGTCTTCTCTTCTTCTGCCGCTGCCCGTCGCTGCTATACGGATCATAGTCTTCCTCTATATCCCACTCATCCCCATCATCCTCTTCTCCTCCTCCACCTCCTCCTGCTGCTGTCGCGCCATTTCCTGTTTTTCTCTGCCCGTTTTGCTGCCCGCCCGAGCTAGTCACAGCTCCGCTGCCCTCAAGATTCTGCAAGTTGTTTGCCGACCTGCCCGCGGGCAGCTCGCCGGAAGTTCTTTCCTGCCCGGTCGCGTTACCAGCACTGGCACCAGCAGCACCAACAGCAACGGTACCTAGGTCGCCGTTTTGAAGCTTGATCGCTCGCTCTTCATTATTCAGTATTGCCAGCCAAATGCTCGTCTCCTGTGCTGACATCTTATTCTGGTAACGGGGAGTGCAGTAAAGGGCACACAAGGAAGAAAATGGAGTGAGATTTGAGGTGCCTCAAGCAGTAGATAGGTCGCCGTTTTGAAGCTTTATAGCTTGATATCTTGCTCTTCGTTGTTCAGAATTGCCAGCCAAATGCTCGTCTCCTGTGCTGACATCTTATTCTGGTAACGGGGCGTGCAATAGAGGGTATTCAAGGAAGGGAATGGAATGAGGAAGGGGAGAGGGCACGTGTTAGGAGGAGTGCTACCCATCAAAAACACCCATTTGATGGAAACACCCATGCCTTCCCATCAAATGGGGAGTGCAACTGAGATGGTAGAAACGGGTTCGATCGCTGCAAGCCGCTACCATCAAACACCCATGAGAGAAAATGGGGAATGCAACTGTAGCTACCATTGAACACCCATGAGAAAAAAATGGGGAATGCAACAGAGTTGAGAAGTTCTGTTAGCCACCTCTGTTGTGACATGACAACGCGTGAATGAGACACCTCGTTGCTTCATCACCGTCGCCAGCACGGCTGCCTTGGCCACCTTCTTCAGATCATGCGGCTTGCGGTAGGGCAGAGAAGGAGAGAAAGAGGGAGCATACCTGCAGGCAGGCAGGCAGGCAGGCGCGTACCTGTAAACCCTTGTTCTGCCGAATCAGTCGTCTAATCTTCGGCACATCCGGCAGCATGTGTTTGATCACCGTCGCCAGCACGGGTGCCTTGGCCACCTTCTTCAGATCATGCGGCTTGCAGTGTAACAGAGAGCTAGGGAGAGCGTTGCAGAGAGCGAGAAGGAGAGAGCGAGGAAGCATACCTGTAACCCCTTGTTCTGCCGTATCAGCCTTCTAATCTTGGGAACATCGGGCAGCATGTGCTTTATAACCGTCGCCAGCACGGCCGCCTTGGCCACCTTCTTCAGATCATGCGGCTTGCGGTAGGGCGGCAGGCCCGAGTCCCCCCCACCGCCCGGACTCGTGATTTGATTCAGCCCCAGCCCCTGGGAGAGAGCGCCCCACCAGGGCTCGTTGCCCGACGGCCACCAGGGGGGAGCGACTCCTTTGTCTAGAGGAAATTTCCGCTGGGGAGGGGAGCAGTGCTGGGAGTGAAAGGGCGGAACAGGAAGGCAGAGGGTGGGGCGAAAGAGGGGAGGTAAGGAAAGAGGAGGGTTCAGTCCCAGCCCCTGGGAGAGAGCGCCCCACCAGGGCTCGTTGCCTGACGGCCACCAGGGGGGAGCGACTCCCTTGTCTAGCGGAAATTTGCGCTGTGGGGGGGAGCAGTGCTGAGATGGGGGGAAAGCAGATAAGGCATGAGAGGGGGTGATTTAAGGTTGGGGGGAGTGGAAGTGGGAGAGGGCGCCCCACCAGGGCTCATTGCCTGACGGGGGGGTGCTACGCCCTTGTCTAGGGGGAACTTGCGCTGTGGGGGGGGAGCAGTGCTGGTATTGGGGACGAAGTGGGGAACAGGGCAGGGGGCGGGGAGGACAATTGGAGGGGAGGTAAGGGCGGTCACTCATATGAGAGCACACACACGCCCCACCAGGGCTCGTTGCCTGACGGCCCCCAGGGGGGCGCCACTCCCTTATCTAGGGGGAACTTGCGTTGAGGAGGGGAGCAGTGCTCGGATGGGGGGAGGAAGAGGACAAGGCAGGAAGAGTGGGAGTAAGGGCGAGGTAGAGGGAACTGGAGGGTTCAGTCCCAGCCCCTGCGAGAGAGCGAGCGCCCCACCAGGGCTCGTTGCCTGACGGCCACCAGGGGGGCGCCACTCCTTTATCCAAAGGAAATTTCCGTTGAGGGGGGAGCAGTGCTGGGATGGGGGGAGCAGTGCTGGGATGGGGGGAGCAGTGCTGGGATGGGGGGAGCAGTGCTGGGATGGGGGGAGCAGTGCTGGGATGGGGGGAGCAGTGCTGGGATGGGGGGAGCAGTGCTGGGATGGGGGGAGCAGTGCTGGGATGGGGGGAGCAGTGCTGGGATGGGGGGAGCAGTGCTGGGATGGGGGGAGCAGTGCTGGGATGGGGGGAGCAGTGCTGGGATGGGGGAGCAGTGCTGGGATGGGGGGAGCAGTGCTGGGATGGGGGGAGCAGTGCTGGGATGGGGGGAGCAGTGCTGGGATGGGGGGAGCAGTGCTGGGATGGGGGGAGCAGTGCTGGGATGGGGGGAGCAGTGCTGGGATGGGGGAGCAGTGCTGGGATGGGGGGAGCAGTGCTGGGATGGGGGGAGCAGTGCTGGGATGGGGGGAGCAGTGCTGGGATGGGGGAGCAGTGCTGGGATGGGGGGAGCAGTGCTGGGATGGGGGGAGCAGTGCTGGGATGGGGGGAGCAGTGCTGGGATGGGGGGAGCAGTGCTGGGATGGGGGGAGCAGTGCTGGGATGGGGGGAGCAGTGCTGGATGGGGGGAGCAGTGCTGGGATGGGGGAGCAGTGCTGGGATGGGGGGAGCAGTGCTGGGATGGGGGGAGCAGTGCTGGGATGGGGGGAGCAGTGCTGGGATGGGGGGAGCAGTGCTGGGATGGGGGGAGCAGTGCTGGGATGGGGGGAGCAGTGCTGGGATGGGGGGAGCAGTGCTGGGATGGGGGGAGCAGTGGGAGTGGGAGAGCCAGGGTCATTGGAGTGGCAGCGGGAGAGAGCGCCCCACCAGGGCTCGTTGCCTGACGGCCACCAGGGAGGGGCTACGCCCTTGTCCAGAGGGAACTTGCGTTGAGGGGGGGAACAATGCTGGGATGGGGAAAAGGTGACTGGGGTGGGGACGATGGATCGGAGCAGACATCCTTTCTCTCTTTCACCCTCTCACACCCTCACACCCTCACCTGCATCAAAGCAGACAGAAGGGAACCCAGAGTCGTATCCTGCAGCTCAAGCAGCGAGTGCAGAGGCATGCACGTGGGCGCGAGTCCCCCTGCCCCTCCCCCGCCCTCCCCTCCCCCTGCGCCTCCCCCCATCGCCGCCGCCCGTTCCGCCTCGAATTTCGCCAGAGCTGCCGGGCCGTTCTTGTCGAACCGAACCTTGTCCTTCCACCAGGCTCGGAGGTTGTCGGAGCTGCCCCCAACCGGCTTGCCAGCCTCGGGAATGACGCCGTACACGAACCCGCGCGCGTGGCAGAGCTCCATCATGCGCAGCATGTGCTTCAGGATTCCGTCCTGTGCGCGGGCCATGCGCTTGCGCATCGCTGGTTCCTGGTGCAGGGGCGGGGGTTAGAAGGAGGGACAGAGGCAGGAGAGAGGTGGGTGCGTTCAGAGAGGCATAGGCGCGTGGCAGAGCTCCATCATGTGCAGCATGCGCAGCACGCGCGTGGCAGAGCTCCATCATGTGCAGCATGCGCAGCACGCGCGTGGCAGAGCTCCATCATGTGCAGCATGCGCAGCACGCGCGTGGCAGAGCTCCATCATGTGCAGCATGCGCTTCAGAATGCCGTCCCCCACCCGCGGGGCTAGTGCATCGCTGCTTCCTGAAGGCTTCCTGAAGGGGCGGTGGTGGTGGTGGGAACGGGGGTGAGAACACGCACGATTTCACTCTAAATTCCAACACGCACGGGACTGACTTGTGAGTCGGCTCAGAAGTTCCGTTCTCCTCCTTTTGCCCCTGAAGCTTTCTCGATCCCAGCACCACTACTGTCCGATCGATCCCGAGTGATTTGTGAGCCAACTCAAAAAAAGTACCCTTTCCTCCTCTTCTCCCTGTAGCTTGCTCGACCTAGGCACCAGTAACGCCCGATCCATCCCAAGCTAATTGTGAGTCTACTCAAAAGAACGCCCCTCTCCTCCTCTTCCCCATATAGCTTACTCGATCCCAGCACCACTACCCCAGGTGCAAGCCTTGCAAGTCAACTCAAAAGTCCCCACTCGTCCTCTCCCTATGGATTACTCGAACCCATCATCCTCAACACCAGTAACGTCTACTCGATCCCGGGTGTCTTGTGACTTGGCTCAGAAGTCAACCGTCCTCCTTTTGCCCCTACAGCTTGCTCAACCTCAGTACAGCACCACTGCTGGTCGACTGATCGCTTCCCCCGCAGCCTTGACTGCACTGCACAGGCACGGAAGCAGGTACTGACTATAGATACCGGTAAGCCTGGATAACACAATCTCTCTCTGAGGCCCCTATGAAGATCCTCCTGACTCCGTTACCCAGGCCCTGAAGGCGATCTTGACAGCAGGGCAGGGTAAGTCTGGATAATACAAGATTTCCGAAAAACCTACAAAAGTGATCCTGGATCGATTGCCCTGAAAAGTCAAGATTGCCCAGACATCCGATCCTGAGAGCAGGGTAAGCAGGGATATTAGGATGCGTCACGTGATTTTGTAACTGGGAAAGGTGGCACGAGAAATCAAAGAACGGGGTCCTGAGGAGAAGAACGATGTCTGAAGGACAAGATGCCTGTATAGTTCTCTTCTCCTTGTGTCAAAGAGCCTGTGACATGATCACTTGACACACGGATCACCGGAACGCACCCTAGGTTCGTCACCCAACTCAAGGTTGCGCCTTTGGTCTACTTTCCCGGTTAAAGAGAGGCAAAGATGAGGAACTGGTATAAGCATCACCCTTAGGACCTTCAGGAATATTCAAGCCCGAGTCGTGCCCCGCATCCTGTAATCTCCAGTTGGGTCTATAATTACCCACACTACACCAACCACCCACGTTCTAACAAAACCATGGCTCTTACCAGTAAGAGCTGATAGGAAGAGGGAGGGAAGGGACAAGGAGAGGGAAGAGGGAGTAGATCAAGAGATTGAGAACGCAGAGGGATACTAATAGCCCAGGCCTTAACGAAGCCATGACTCTTACCAGTAAGATCTGGTAGGAAGAGGGAGGGTAGGGAGGAGGAGAGGGAGAGAGAATAGATCAAGAGAGGGTAGATCAGACACTGTGGGGTGTCTGCCCAAGATGGTGGCTTGGCCGATCATGTTTTAGTAGACTCAAGCAAGGCTGTGTGGGGGAGATGAGGCTGTGTGGGGAGATGAGGCTGTGGGGTATCTGACAAAGATGGTAGCTTGGAAGCTTACTTCAAGCAAGGTGGATAGGCCAGCATGATTCTGAGTTTACCTGCTACCACACAGCACTTAACTAAGAGGCGGTGCATAATCACTACCTGCAGCTTCTTCTGCCGCGCCCGTTGAGCCTCTTCTTTGGCTTTCCGCATTTCCTTCAGGCGTTGCAACTTAAACTGGTCCCGCTGAACCCGCTTCTCCAACTCGTCTATATCCATCTCATCGTCACTTAGTCCCTCATCCTCCGCCTCCTCTTCCCCCTCCCCCGCCGAGTTCCCCCTCTCGTCCGCCATCGCCAGAAGCCTCCCCCGGTCCCTGCGCCGTCCCCCCCGTTAACGCCTGCTCCGCCCGTTTTTGAACCCCTTATTACCCCTTCTACTGCAGGGTGAACTGCGGTTTCGCCCATGTCCTCACCCTCGTCATCATCTCCCCGCGGCCGGATCATCAGCTGCCGGAGACGCCTGGAAGATTCTAGCAACCCACTCTTAGCTAAGTGCGTGGTTGTGAATGGCCGGCCTATATTGTAGAAACCAGGAAACTTTGGGCACAGAAAGAGCATACACTGGTAAACAGCTTCTGCTACAGCGTGATCTAGTCTCGCCGTTGTATTCCTGACTCAGTATTATCAGTAATCGCAGATACCACTGCAAGAAGTTGATCCCTCCCTGCACTTTGCGCTGCTAAGCCTTATTTAAGCCTTAAAATGCGACGTCGAGCTGTGCGATCTGACAAACCCATCAAGCGACGTCGCTTGTGTCGCACGAACTTACGTCTAGCTGAGATATACTGTCGCTCAGTCCTACTTCCATTGTCGACGGCACGAGAGAAACCCTGGCGGATCTATTTCCCGCGCAGTTCTGTGATACGAATGCTTCTCTCCTTTTTTACCGCTAGCGCGATGCTTTGCATCTTACGAACCACCAACCAACCAATCAACCGACCGTTTAACTGTCAACAGTCCGACTTTCGGGCCTTTGAAAGGCTTCTGTTCCGCAAACAGCCGCAGCTCGCGGGAGGAGGTAACGGAACTGTAGCTGACAATTCTTTCCCAACTACTGAGTGCTAAGGAGCCAGAAATCCCGCCGCAACTTGACGACTACGACTACAGTACGCCGTCGCTCGTTTCGTTTCGTTTCATCTCATCTCATCTTTCCCTGAAGCTGATCAGCATGATCGATTACCAGGAAAACTTGACGGAAATTCTTCCGTCCTGAGGGTGGCTCAAGTTGAAAACGCGAGTCGCAGCTGCGCAGTTCATGAACGCTACACCGAGGCGGAAGCAGCCTATCAAAACGGGGGAGCTAAGGCGGAAAGCTCCGCTCGATGGCGGAAGGTTTTGCGCGCGAAGGGCGAAATGATCAAGCAATTCACGGGAGGCTGCGGAAAACGATCTGGCGCGAGCGACAAGCATCCCGCAGGAGGCGGGAGCGATAGAAGCAGGCAGCTCCTGTTTTGATTGGTTCCACCCAAGTGGCGGAACCTCGGAACTGCGCGACGGGAGGCCATGCAACTGTACAGTTGTCCGTAGCAAGCAGCAATTCAAATGAAAGCTGGAGCCTCGAGCCTGACAAACGGGACGGGACGAAGCACGAGATTCTGCGAGGGGAAGCTTTGAATGTTCGTTGACGGTAAACATAAGACGGTACAGAATGTTTTGAAATGGTCTCAAGCGGTGAAAACCAGTAACCGTTCTATAACGTCTTGCACCGCGCTAAACGAACACCAAACGACCCACCCGCTGGTTGGTGTAATGTGATGTGAACCCAAGGTTTTGTGAATCCCAGGGCTTTCAGGCATTTTTTGCTGTCATTCGCAGCAGTCCAAACCTGATTAGCGGCTTTTTCTCGAGCGACGCAGCCTCCCTGAGTGAGTGAGATCGACGCACGCGAGGCTTCTGCTGGGCACACCGCCACGGACGAACGGCGACGATTTGCGGCAGAGAAAAGCGTTCTCGCTTGTTTCCCGTGCAAATGTGACGACCAATGACAAGTGGCATATGGTTCGTCAGAATAGGGCCCGCCAAATCAAATTTGTGAAGTGCAAGCCAAGCCGCTCGCTAGAATGGTGGCTGGGCAATCGGGCAGCAGAGTGTTTCACCAGCCCCTCGCGACCTTCCATGGTGGGGATTGGCGGACGAGGCTGTCTGCATGCAAAGAATCCGTGACCAAGAGGATGGGCAGATTCATTCCCTCAAAACCCGAGTGAGGCGAGTTCGTGGTCAGGGTTCGTTGAGTCTTGACAGCGCAAAGGTAAAGGTTGTCTTTTGTGCCGCACCGCCATTGCAGTGCTGAGCTGTCTGGATGCAATGTTCCCGAGAATCTGGTGATAGGATGATGTTGGTTGCGTCACAAGCTAACTCACAAGTTGACCATAGTTGGACATTTTCGCTAGATGTAACCATAACGTTGCATACAGACCCATAGATGGAAGCAATAGGAAGAACGCTCAAAGATGTCAACAGTAAATGGATTGTAAACTCAGCAACTCTAGTGTGCCCCTTATCCATATGCCAGCTATATATATGCTAGAGCTGGTTCACATGCTAAAAAAAAAGGATTACGTTACTTTCTCGCATCAAATCAAGATATGGAATCCCAATTCGCATTTCCAAGAAACAATTGGAGTTGATAACTTCAACATGTGGAAACTGTCTATCACTAAATAGTTCTGTCTACAGTTCGGTGCTCTGGTCTCCATTTGATCCTTTTGGCAATCTTTACAAGCACGTCGTCTTACATCTCCCTTCCCTGCTCGGATCCATCGCTATAAGCATACCACCTCTCGCCAACACCGTCGTTCTCTCTTCCCAAGCCAATACCCACCAGACCTCACCTCTTCTTCCCAGTCCCACATAGTTTCCATCTAATCTCTCGACCAGTTATGTGTTCTAAAACCCCTGGCCGTCGGACATAGACTAGAGATGCTGCTGAATATGTGACACCGATCAACGTGCACGGCGATTCGTGCCGGTTATAGTTGCCGATACTTGTTATGGTTGCTAGTCTCAACTGGGTTGTACTTCATGCTGCCTGAACTCGCATTTATGCGGGACTTCTTTCTTGCGGTGTCTCGCGTTCTGCGGTTTCGATCTCGGATGGTGAGTTCTGATGTTCAGTAGATGTTGCTGCTGTTTCCAACGGTTGCAGGAACATCGTCGAACTAATGGCCGGTTTGTTTGTTTGTTTGTTTTTTCATTTACTGTGTTTGCGCCGTCTATGAAGGCGTTTCTAATTGCACCTCTCCGGCCGGATTTTCAAGTTGCTTTCGGCTGATCTTGTCAAACCGCCTGATTTTGTCGATCGTAACGATACGCGGCTGATCAGATCATCAACCAGAGAGAGTGCACGGCTTCTAGGTATGTGCTCTCTGCGGGGTGTCTCTTCGTTAGTGTTTTTTTTTCCTCCAGCTTGCTTTCCGATTTTGTCGCTTTCTTTTCTTTTCGAGCTCCGCCGGTTGGCTTCCCTTTTCTTTATCTCGTGACATGGGTCCTTCGATCCCCACTCCGCCCCACCCTTCCAACACACTCCTGGGCCACCTCCCCACCCCGAACCCCTCACACCCTCCCTCGCATTTCGCCTTTTGATGCTGCACTCCTGTATCCGTCGGTCGATGGTGTCTGCCTGCGAGCTTTCTTTCGCGTTTCTTTCCTCTTTAGATCTTGATCGCCTCTATGATTATGCTACATGTTATTAGCTCTAGCTGATTGGCCGTGATGAGCAAAACTAGATATCCATCGGATGAGAGGCGCAATCCTTGCCATGGCTCTCCCTTCCGTTTTTTCTCCGTCTCGTCCCGCTCTCTCGCCCTCCTCCTGCTCTCTCACGCTTCTACTACAAATGCTCTCTCGCTCTTTCATTCCTGGGAAAAGCAGAGGGTTTGAGTTGGGGGCTTTTGCGCTGGCGTCCCTCTGGGATCGCATCTGCGCATTGCCCGTTCTGCTGTTGCTCGCCTTCTCGCCGGTGGTAACCACCATACGGAAGCCGCTGCAGCAGCAGATTAGCCAGCGAGGATCCCCACCCTCCCGTCATCCCCAGGGAGACTAGCCTGAAGCCTCGCATGTGCTTGCATTCGTGCATGCATGTGCTGGCTTCAGTGGTTTTATCCCTCTGTGCCCTCTCCTTGCTGCCTCTGGGTGGCTTGTGGCTTGCCGGACGGGGGATCGGCCACACATTGCCATGATGGTCATAATCACTGGAGTACATGCAAGTTGTTTCGAGAGTGTACTTGTGTAACATTCTCGTTTGCATCGCTCCAATGTCGATGCTTTCTCGGCTCCTCGTTTCGTTGTTTCCCATTTCGATTCTAAAAACCCGGACATTTTCCACCCAGTTTCGTGTGTCGAGACCAATGATTAGATTACAGTTTCAATTAACCATCTTTCGGGACATACAGGGCTAACCACCCTCCTGATGATAGCAGCTGACGAATGAGGTCTCAACACGCGCAATTCTTTTACCGTGTTCTTTTGCCACCAGTCTTCTGTTCGTGCTATTGTCGTGGTTATGCATTTCTTTCTGGTTTCCATGGTTCCTCTAATCATTCTGGTGCGTCTCCTCGTCCCCCCGTTATTATCTGGTTCTTCGTCAGATGGCATGACTCGCTGGTGGCAATGTGGCGGATCCCAGGCTGACGTGGCTGATCCATTGCAATTAATCAGTGACCGTCAACACCAGTCGACGCTGAGGTGGCGCGAGGCACATCTCTTGACACGTGGAAAGTGTGCACATCCGTGCACCCTCCCCAACAGACCAATGCTCAATGCTCTAGGTAAGTTCCGTCTCTATACCTTGTTGCTGCGGGTAAGATCCATGCGTACACTCTTTAGGTGTGGGGGTGAGCTCTCTTTTATGTACTGTAGTTCCAGGGAGTGATGTCACATGTACTGGCCGTCAGTCCAAATGTTACAGTAGCAGCGTCTGACAGGAATGATGATTTCCTATTGCCACCTTTCGTCTTTAAAGGCCTCCACGATTAAATCTTTGCAACCATCCAAAGCAACGTCTGGTCATCCAGGCTGCTAATGCGGTGTGATAGATCAATAACATGAGAGGCCTCCATCTCTTTCAATCTCTTCCCTGATGCTGCTAGCCACGTTAAGGTGTGGGTGGGCTGTCTTGATCGTGGGAGGAAGGCGGAGGGGTGGATAAGGAGTGCTGTGGAGAGGAGAAGGCTTGGAGAGGCTTGGAGATGCGTGTGTCAGGTGAGGGTCATGGAGTCATATGGTGGCTGTCTATCTGTTTTCTCCCTTTCATGATTCATGCCGCCTCTGTGATTATGAAAATGTTATTAGCTCTAGCTGATTCCCCATGAAGAGCAAAACTAGATATCCATCGGATGAGAGGCGCTACATGGTTTTGGCTCTTGTGTCCCTTGCTCTTCACTCACTTCATTTTAACCCTCGTTTTACACTAGTCCTCGTTTTGCTCTTTTCTCTATTCTGTATCCCTGCTTTACATTCTGGGAATGTCCGTGACTGAGACCAATGATTAGATTACAGTTTCAATTAACATCTTTCGGGACATAGTGAGGGTTCCCCCCTCCTGATGATGTCCGCTGACAAATGAGGTCTCATCTCTCTTGATAACTCCGGTCTTGTATTGGCCTAGTTCCACTGACAATTTATTTACCTCTGCATGCAGTCATTATGAAGTCTACCAAATTATTGGGCTGTTAATTCAACATGTCTTAGTTGTCCTTTCCTTTCTCCCCATCACCACCCCTGCCTTCCGCCCTCCTGCTCTATTGTCCAGCGTGCAGGACTGTTGAAGTGCAGGACTATCGAAGAGGTTATGTACGTTGCTGTTATTTGGCTGTATGTTATACCTGAATTCTGACCATGAAGTTATACCAATAGATACATCTCAATGGAAACATGAATCCCATTGGTAAACGCATCCAGTTAGGGATGCACCAACCCTAAACACCCAGGGCAAAGTGGTTGCCAAGTTGGAATATCTGCCCCCAGATCTACGTTTCGTGGGAATTACCGTGAGACATCAGGGCTTGCCGTTCAGCTGCGGTAACATTTAGTCTTCAGGCAAGCAAAATATCATTTCTTTCATTTTGTGACTTGAAAATGATGGCTGGTTTACAATACGAAAATGAACTGCACCGCGAACCACACTTGTGCACCCCCCACACCCGGACAAACCCTGCTGACAAGCGGCATAATGTTCCGGCGGCAAAATCCCCGAACCTCGAAGGTGCTTGATTTTCCGCGGATCATTGCCGCGTCCCATCACCTGTCCCGAAGGTGCTCTTGGGTGGCAACCTGCGGCTCCCGACTCTGCTCGGACCTGTGGGACTCAGGCTGGCCAAATTATGAACAGCTGGCTAAAGGGCAGACACGTCAGAAGCTGCTGGCTCGGCTTCACAACGCGCAAATTTTTGTTTAGTAAAGCGCGTTGTTTAGCACTGTTTGGGGTGCTAGGCTTACGTGTCCAAGGCGAGGTTTTGTTTCACGCGGCCCTGCCAGGTGGCTTGGATTCCTCGTTGGCCACTGGCCCAGCTAGATTGGTGGGAAGACAGCTCTGAGTGTATAGTGGAGTTGTGAGTGAACGAAGCTGTGACTGTATGGATGGAATCACACGTTTCTGGTAACGATTTTTGGACGTGCTAGCTTTCATGTGATGCGAGTTCCGTTGACTCAAGTCCACGCGGGGGTCTCCTCCTACGAAGCCCGCTCGCACCACACCTCGCACGACGCGACACACTGCCGTTCGATCATCGAGGATCCATTGAACTCACACGAACCGTCGGATCCTGGGGGAGTTGCAGGGCGACGTCGCTGCCCTCCCCCAATGCAACGTCTCCCGTAGGGTTTGACCGTCAACGGAGAGGCATAAATATTTCATACCTTTCATTCCAACCACAGCAACGTGGGTTCTTCCGCAGAGTTTTCCTCACCAAACCCGGCAAGCAAGAAGCCGACCATCCGTGTTGTGAAATCCCTCCGTAGCCCACGACCTTGGGGTTGACGAGAGTCTTCCTCTAGGCTAGAAAGCAAGGAAGCTCCCTCCAAACCAACTCAACCCAACCCAAACCTATCTCAACTCCGCACCGAAAGCAAGCCAGCGTAGCACACGAAACCCTATCTGCCCATGTCCTCCGCCATAGCGTGCCCGTGGAGTCCCCACATGGACCAACACCAGCACAACCAGCAGCACAACCAGGAACTCTTGCACCCAGATCAGCAGCAGTTCCGCCTTTCCCCAGCCCACATATCCTCTCCCACGAGCGAAAGCCCGTTCACGTGGCCGTTACCTCCCGCGTTAGATTTACCGTCCACTGACGAGTTTCTTCCCGACGAGGCTTCTCCGTGCTGGATTGGGCTCAGCAGCAGCCATCAATCCCCGCCGCAGTTTCCGCCGCAACGGCCTCTGCCGCGCAGTCGGGCTCAGCGCCAGCCATGGCGACTGCAGTGGCGACACAAGCCACGTGGGAGACCACTCCCGCCGCCAACTGCGGCGCAGCTAATGGATTCCGACCTACCGCAGACGCTGCCGTGCCCGCCGCCTCCGCCTCCCACTGCGCTTCTTCCGGAGTAAGCTTCCCCGCAACTCCCGCTTCCCCCTCGTCCGCATCCGCTCCTGCCGCCACCACTACCCTTCCGCCACCCGCTTCCGCCGCCTCCGCCGCCCCCGCGCCGTCTCCGCCGTCCCTCCCCGTGGCGCAACTGGAAGAGCTCCTTCTCGACGACTGCGGAGTCCTCGAGATCTCCATTCCCCAGCGCCGCTTCCCCTCATCCTTCCCCCATCCTTCCTCTCATCCGCGGCGACGGGAAGCCTCGCGTCAACCCTCCCACCGCGGGGACCCTCCCCTCCGCGGGGCCTCCCCTCCGCGGGGACCCCCCGCCGCGCAACTCCCGCGGATCTGCGCGAGCAGGGGTTGAACCTCTTTCCCAGCCTCCTTCCGCTTCTCTACACTCCGCGCTGCGCCGCCACCGCCGCCATCGCCGCTTCCCCCGCCGGGGAAGAAGCTCAAGCGCGCGCTCGCGTCGTCTCCGGCGGCTGCCGTATGTTCGAGCTTTCGCCAACCGGCCGCAGCCGTCCCCCGCGCCGCTCGCGTCGCCGATGCTGTTTGAGCAGTTTCAGCAGCAGATGCAGCAATGGCCCGCGCCGCAGGTGGAGCAACAGGAGCAGTCCGAGCCGCAGGTGTCGGAGTCAATCGCCGCGCCGCAGACGGAAGAGGATATGGACGAAGCGCTCCCGGA